CTTGAATACAGGGCCTGTGTACTGCCCTTGAGGTTTTGTGCTCACAGCTGAGGCTCAAAACCTTGAGCGACACCTCTACTTCTGGATTCTTGCTGGTTAATTGGAGAGAAGAGTCAATAAGAATCTCAGGGAGCTGAGTGCCGATGGCTCCTGCCTGTAATCCTAGCTACTCAGAAGACTGGGATCTGAGGGTCATGGTTCAAAGCCAGCCCAGACAGGAAAGTCTGTGAGACTCTTAGCTCCAATGAACTGCCAGAAAACCAGAAGTGGTGCTGTGGCTCAAGTGGTAGAGCACTTGTGTTGAGCTGAAGAACTGAGGGACAGCACCCAGGCCTAGAGTTCAAGCCCCATGACTGACAAAAAAAAATGTGGAAGTGGAGGCTCAAATGTTAAGGAGTGCCAGCCTTGAGCAAAACAAAGGTAAGGGGCAGTGCATAGGTCCTGAGTTCAAGTTCTAGTACTGGTACACACACACACACACACACACACAAAGGATTATTTTGATAGAAATTGTTTTTTTTTTTTTTGTCGGTTGTGGGGCTTGAACTCTGGGCCTGGGCGCTGTCCCTCAGCTCTTCAGCTCAAGGCAAGCGCTCTACCACTTGAGCTACAGCGCCACTTCCGGTTTTCTGGTGGTTTATTGGAGATAGGAGTCTCACGGTCTCTCCTGCCCGGGCTGGCTTTGAACTTCGATCCTCAGATCTCAGCCTCCTGAGTAGCTAGGATTACAGGCGTGAGCCACCAGCACCCAGCAGAAATTGTTCTTAAAGTCAAGACAAACTATACTTATCTCCTGGACAATAAATTCCATTGAAATACCACTCTTTAGAAATTTGGAGTCTAACATTGGGATTCAAGTGAAAGTAATAAGCAACTATCAAATCAAAGTCCAGCTGGGCACTGGTAGCTTATGCCTGTAATCCTAGCTACTCTGGAGGCTGAGATCTGAGGATCTTGGTTCAAATTCAGCCCAGGCAGGAAAGGCCTTGAGACTTTTATCTCTAATTAACCACCAGAAAACTGCAACTGTGGCTCAAAGTGGTAGAGCACTAGCCTTAAGCAAAAAGAGCTCAGGGTCAGCATCTGGGCCCTGAGTTCAAGCCCCAGGACCAACACTCCCTCCCCAACCTAATTCCTTTAACAGTGACATTTAATCCCTGCCACAGGTTCACATTGATCAGTAGGTTCTTTGGTGTTTGACCTTCAAAGACCTTGAAAGACACACAATTGCCAGGTGATGGTGGCTCATCCTTTTAATCCTAGCTACTCAGAAGGCTGAGATCTGGGAACTGCAGGAACAGCATGCAGGCCCAGAGTGCAAGCCCCATGACTGGAAAAAAAAAGACACAATTATGTGTAATCTAAAAGAGCTTTATTTAGTATACAATTTCCATATCATTTAGTACAACAAATTATAAAAGCTCTTTGTAAGGCTTTACCCAAAAGATGAACAAAACAGAAAATAAGAAAACAAGCCACTCTTTCATCTCTTACCCGTCCCCCCCTCCCCTTACCGGGACTCAATCTTGGTTATCTAGTGACTTCATTCTTTGGCAGGTGCTCTACCACCTGAGCCACACCTCCAATCCCACTCTCTCATCTTGACAGTTTTCCTCCCATGACAAAGGCTGGTCACATGGGAAAATATGTGTGACCACATCTGTCAATACATAAAATCTGAGCACATTCTAACATCTTCCTATTCATTCCAAGGTCTGAGTTAAAATTCTAAAATATGTTTCTGACAATTCAAGTAGATTGTGGTCACAGATGAGTTAAAATTTGGATGTGTGTATGTATGTATGTGCCAGTTCTGGGGCTTGAACACAAGGTCTCTCTTGCTGTTTTTTCATTCAAGCCTGGCACTCAATCACTTGAGTCACAACTCTACTTCTGGGTTTTGGCTGGTTAACTGGCGATAAGAGTTTCATGGACTTTACTGCTAGCCTCCTATCAAGATCCTCATATTTGTCTCCTGAGTAGCTAAGAGGCATGAGCCAACAGTGCCCAGCAATTTGGACTTGTGAGAGTTAAAATGTACTTGGAATGAACATTTTTGTCCTTTTGGTTCATTGAAATAAAGATTGCAGACCAAAGGAAATACCTACATGTTCTCTTTGCCAGGGATCAACATTCACAGGTCAGAAGCATCTCTCCACGCTGAACAAATGGACTCACATCTCTAGTTCATGCCTCTCTATAAAAGCCCCTCTGACAGTACCCTGGGTCCTTTTGTAGAAGCAGCAAGGACTTTTTCCAGAGTGTGGTCTCTGCTGCTGGCTATGACCAGCAGCAGGATCTGGACGCTGAACAAGTCAAGTACAGAGGTATTGCTTATAATCTTCAATTGTCCACTCACTTGCTAAACTTACTATTTTTATGTGCCACTACTGGGACCTAAAATCAGGGCCTGGGCATTATCTCTGAGCTGCTTTTTTGCTCAAGGCTGGTGCCCTATCACTTGGTCCATAGCTTTACTTCAAGTTTTTTGGTAGGCAGAGATGAGTCTCATGGGTTTTCCTGACCAGGCTGGCTTTGAACTATCAGATCTCAGCCTCCTGCATAGTGAGGTTTACAGACATGAGCACCAGTGCCCAGCACCTATGGCAATTCTGACTGTTAACCATTTGTTATTACCAAAAATTGAACAGCCCTGAAACACATGTGGTACAGCAGGGGTGGCAGTGGGGGTGGTTAAGCTGTGGGTCTCTGGCACAGTCTGGGAACCAGAGCTGGACCAGACACAAGAAACCTCCCACGTGCTAAAAATACCTCCCATTGTGCTCGGAGAAATTTGGTCACTGGGAAATAAAAACTTATGTACACGCTCACAGTGTTTTGGGAAAGAGTGTATGTGTGGAGTTTGTCTCGCGATTTTTTTTTTTTTGGCACTTTATGCTTTTTACTAAAGAGCAAACACTACATGTTTTGGCAATGATGGCACGATGAAAAAAAAAAGTCACTGCCCATGTGGTGACAAACAGATAAAATCCTTGTATACCAAGAATCAAAACTCCCAATATGGCTAAGACAGATAGGAAAATTTAAATTAAAAAATACCTGAAAAGGTAACAGATTGTGTGTGTGTGTGCCAGTACTGAGGCTTGAACTCAGGGTTAGGGTGCTGCCCTTTATCCATTTTGTTAAAGGCTGGCATTTTACCACTTATCTGACTTTGTGGTGGTTCACTGTAGATAAGAGTTTCATGGACTTTTCTGCCTATACTAGCTTCAAACCATAATCCTTAGCTTTCAGCCTCTTGAGGAGCTAGGATATAGATGTAAGCTACTAGTTGCTGACTTTGTCAATTTCTTTTTTGACTATGTTGTTGATAAAAGCAGAATCCCCTGTGCTCTACAAGACAAGTTAAAGGTTTTTTGTTTTGTTTTTTTAGAAAGTAGTGACTAGAAATAGAAATCTGTACACATGACGCTATCCAACTCCATGCCTATGGCCATTTACTACAGTCCAACTGCTAGGAGTAACATTTAAATCCTTCCCAATTGGAAAGAACAGGGAACAAAGTTACCAGTCTTGAACCTGGGTGCTGTCCCTGAACTTTTTATGCTCATGGCTAGCACTCTATCTACTACTACTGGAGCCACAGCTCCACTTCCGGTTTTTTTTTTTTGCTGGTTAATTGGAGAGTATCATGGATTTTCCTGCCCAAGTTGGCTTCTAACCATGATCCTCAGGTCTGTTTCCTGAGTAGCTAGGATTACAGGGGTGACCCCACCAGTGCTGGGCTTCATTAGCTATCTTGAGTCAATTAAGTAGAGGAAATGCTTTTTAATCAGCAATTTTTACATGTCCCTATTATTATAAATGATAAGATGATAAAAGCAACTGTTACAAATTTTGAGTAGGTACACATGATTTTTTTTTTTTTTTTGGTCATCTACAGACAAGCATGACATAGAGGCACTTGGCTATCTTTTGATGAAGAAGAAAATCGTGTCACCAAGACCTGTTCACTAGGGTTGGAGACCACAAGTTAGACTAATTTGTATGGTAATGCTGACTGAGTGGTCAACTTGACAGGATAGAATGCTTCCAAAGCAGTTCTACGCTTTCCAAGGTTCTAGGCTGTAAAAATTACAAAAAAGGCTAAAAATGTAAAAATTTTACAAAATTTGCAAGCCCAGTAAATTGAAATGGGTAGAAAATGAAGTAAGATGGGCATTTCACTTGCAGGAGAGAGTATTCAGTAAGTTTTAAAAGAATAAAACTAAAGTCTAAAGTCACAAATTCTGTTTGGCTCCATATACTTCTGCCTCTTAATGGTGGGGCCATGAGGAACTGGGGACACATTTTCTTTTCTTTTTTTTTTTTCTTTTTTGTCGGTCCTGGGGCTTGAACTCAGGGTCTGGGCACTGTCCCTGAGCTTCTTTTGCTCAAGGATAGCATTCTACCACTTGAGCCACAGCGCCACTTCTGGATTTTTCTATTTATGTGGTACTGAGGAATTGAATCCAGGGCTTCATGCATGCTAGGCAAGCATTCTACCAATAAGCCACATTCCCAGCCCTGGGAACACATTCTTCTATGCCCAACTTTCACAGATGCACACACATTTCCCTTCACGTATGACAATATCAGGAAACTGAAAACATTTCAGATAGAGTACAACAAAATACGGTACATATAAAAACCTGACATGATTTTTTTTTCTGTTGCTGTTCATGTTAAAATTACAATAATGAAGAACATTAGAAAATACTAAGTGACACAGGAAAAAAAAATCTTTTGTATGTGTGTAGGTTGTGTGTGCATGCCAGTCCTGGGACTTGAACTCAGTGCTTGGGTGTTGTCCTTGAGCTTTTTTTTGCTCAAGGTTAGTGCTCTACCACAACTCTACTTCTGGATTTTTACTGGTTAATAGGAGGTCAGAGTCTCCTGGGCTTTCCTGTATGGACTCACTTTGAAAAATGATCCTCCGATCTCAGCCTCATGACTAACTAGGATTACAGCCATGAGTCACTGGGAGCCTGGCTAAAAAAAAAAAAAAGAAAAAAAAAGAGTTTTGTAAAAAGCCACCAACTGCTCTTCTCTAGTGAGTTCCTGTTAAATAACTTAACGTTTCTTCCTGTTAATCCCATTCCGCCAGAGTGGACCAAAGTGAAGATTCTCAGCCTGAAATGAAATGCCTTTCAAATCTGGACCCAGAAAAAGAGCATGGAACAAAGAGACACAAGACAGGAAAGCGCCCAAAGCCCGTTGGAAGATGCTTCTGAAGACGCTGACACTGTGTAAAACTTGTAGGACATCTCAAGTCACCAGAGACCACCTTGCACAGGAAGCCCGGGCCACAGAGCCTCAGCCCCCTGCAGTCTCCTGTGAGGAAAAAACCGAGAGACTGGGCAGGAATCTCCACTACTTGTTTGTGGACAGTTTGTAGACATGGAAGGTCTTGTTCTGAAATACTCTAGTGAAGTGGGCTGCGTAGGGAGGTGGGTTCCTTTTGATCTCCTCACAGAAGCGAGGGTGGTCTGCAGCTTTCAGATCCGGATCATTCTCTCCTGGGCCGTCCATCACCTAAAGTCAAAACAAATGCAGATATGACTGCTATAGTGGTGGGGAGAAGGTGTATCTACTCTATCGATCTCAAGCTATGATCAATTGATCTATCTATCTAAATATCCACTTTTTTTTGCTATTTTTTAAAAAAGTTTTTATTGTAAAGATCCTATACAGAGGGTTACAGTTACATGAGCAAGGTAATGAGTACACTTCCTATTGGACATTGTTACCCCCTCCATTGTTTTCCCCCTACCATCCCTTCCCTCCCTACCTTCCCCCAGGTTTTTTTTTTATTGTGATTAAGTGATTACGTAATTTCCCAAATTTCACAGTATTGTGGAATAATGATGCTCATTTAAAGTCACAAGTTCATTCTAACTTTCCTGGAGCAAATTGTCTATCACAGTCTATAACATATAACGGTGTACACACATACACCATACATGTGATCAGCAGCATGGGGATATTTAGTAGTGGTTTGACCAGATGAATGGGAGTTCTTTGTTTCTTAAGTCCTGTTAATTTTGTCGTATCACCTAACATTTTGGATTTAGCATCCACTTATCAGGGAGACCATGTACCGTTTGTCTCTTTGCTCTTGGCTTACCTCGCTCAACATGATTCCTTCTAGTTCCATCCATTTCCCTGCAAATGCCATTATTTTATCCTAAATGTCCACTTTTATCTTATCTATCCATCCACTCATTTATCTATGATCTATCTATCTATCTTTCATATATCTGACAGGGTCTCACTGCGTACAACAGGATGCCCTCAAATGCACAACTCCTCTGCCTCAGTCTCTCAAATGCCAGGATTACATGTATATATTACCATGCTTGAATAAACAAATGAACACATCACGTTCACACAAGACAACAGAACATGAATAGGACCAATAGGTATTGGCTTTGCTGAAGTATGAAATGCTCAGGCTGGGATGTAACTCACTGGCAAAGCACTTGCCTAGCAAGTGCAACATCCTGGGTTTGATCCCCAGTACCCAAAAAGAAAAGATTAAAAAAAAAAAGAATGAAATGCTAATCTAGGCATGGTAGCTCATACCTATAATTTTACCTACTTAGGAGTAAAGATCAGGAGGATCATGGTATGAGATCAGCCTTGACAAAAACTCGTTTAAGAAATATTTTAAAATTATATTTTTATTATCTTTAAGTAGTTATATACCATTCAAGATGAAGGGCAAAACCATTTGTGAGATCTCATCTCAATCAATAAAAAGCAGGGTGAGGTCACATGGGCCTGTTGTCACAGCTGTATGGGAAGTGTAAAGAGGAGGATCACAGTTCAGGCCAGTTGGACATGAATGTGAGGACTTGTTTGAAGAAAAAAAATGAAAGGGCTGGAGGCATGGCTTAAATGGCAGAATGCTTGCCTACGAAGCAAGATGCCCTCAATTGAAATGCCTATACTGTCAAAAAACAATGAAAAAGATGCTTTGGAAAATGGTGAATGTTTTCTCTCATATGTGGAAGCTAGATCTAAAATACACGGGGACATGATACATGATACAAGACTCTAGGCATTCACACACAATAAGTCCAAAGGAGGATATTCTTAGGAGAGGAACACAAAGATACAATGTCTATGTGCATCTGATCATACAAAATAATAGGTATCAAAATGAATTCCAGGAAATGGAAATGAGATTTTTAAAAAATTTGTTGCTGTTTTCATTTTCCATTTTTTTTTTTTTTGTCAGTTGTGGGGCTTGAACTCTGGGCTTGGGCACTGTCCCTGCGCTCTTCAGCTCAAGGCGAGCACTCTACCGCTTGAGCCAGAGCGCCACTTCTGGTTTTCTGGTGTTTTATTGGAGATAAGAGTTTCATGGACTTTCCTGCCGGGACTGGCTTTGAACCACAATCCTCAGATCTCAGCCTCCTGAGAAGCTACAATTACAGGCGTGGGCCACCAACGCCCAGCTTCTTTTTCTTTTTATGTTGTTTGTTCCTTTTATCTGTCTTTGAGATAAAGGGGGGCACAGAAATGGAGGGACAAAGGGTGAACAAATGCAGCAGTGCTAGTCACTAGACACTTTGTGGAAGATGAACTATACCACTTGTGGTAGTGATGGGAGGGGAAGAGCTGGGAAAGAGGGAGGGAAGGACTGACATTGTCCAAAAAGAAATGTAGTTTTTATCTGCTTTACACAACTGTAACCTCTCTGTATGTACATCATCTTTATAATAACAATAAAATTAATTTATGATAACAATAACAATAAAAGGAGGCTGAGATCTGAGGATCACGGTTCAAAGCCAGCCCGGGCAGGAAAGTCCATGAAACTCTTATCTCCAATAAGAAATCCGCAAGTTGTGCTGTAGCTCAAGTAGTAAGAGCTCTAGCTTTGAGCTAAAGAGTTGAGGAACAGCGCCCAGGCGCAGAGTTCAAGCCCCATGACCAACAACAACAACAACAAAAATATGCTTTGGAGCAATGGGCTTCGAAGCGGTTTTGCAGTAAAATCCTTAAAAAATATTTTCTGCAAAGCCATGTATTATAAAAACAATCAAAACAGAGCTACTGTTTGAGGAGAAATGGGAGACCTATGTGTAGGTGGGGAGGAGTCCCTTCTCCCAGCCCCTGGCACCCACCGCTATGTGTAAGGAGCAGGGCAGGTGTCTGCAGAAGACCCATGGATTCATTCCAACAGATACAACACCTCCCCAGCAGAAACAGATCTGCATTACTGGATGCATCACCCCCACCAGCATCATCCCCCGCCTGGAGGCCATTGCTCACGTGTCCATTGGCGATGTCCAGCAGGTCCCGCAGGCGGCAGCCCCGCCGGTGCCTGCGCTCGTAGCAGATGCTGTTCTCCAAGATGACGTAATCTGCACCGAAGGACCTCAGGAGTGCGTGCACATCCTCAGGGGACCTCTTGGCATAGATCTGATAAACCTAGGGAAGGGGATGTTTTTCAATCACCTGGGAGTTGGAAGAACAGGAAGGGATCACCCAGGTCCAATGCCTGTCTCTTTCTCTTGTGTCACCTGCAGCTCTGCAGGTGGATACTATAATTATTTCCTCAGGGAAGAGTGTGAGTGAGTCACACATGCCCAATCCGCCTGCATTCAGTATTCAGCTACACGTGGACTGGGAAATACATACTTTCCAGGTAGGAATTTATTCGTCTTTAGGCACCAAATGCTTAATGAGGGCAAATGACATGGGTAGCTGAGGCCATCAGGCAACCCAGGGGCCCTGGGGCAGAGGAAGAGACCCATCTTTTGGCAGCACACCTAGGGAGAAGCCCCTGGGGTGGCAGCCCTGACCCAGGCTTGCAGGGATACGGGGGGGGGGGTGTCGCTTGCTGCCTTACTGCTGCTATGCGGTATGCCATCGGAACAGCAGCAGAACCCAAGCATGCATTCCTACCTCTTGTCCACTCAGGAGTTTAGGAGGGGGCTGCAACTCTTAGCTGAGGTACTCATGGGGAAGCAAGCAGCTTTCTAGTCTTGAAGGAGGTCAAAGAATCAGAGGTCATGGTTGCTACAGTCTTGGATAAAATCTTTCTTTTTTTGGTGCCGGTATTGGGGCTTGAACTCAGGGCCTGGGTGCCGTCCCTTAGCTTTTTTTTTTTTTAACTCAAGGCGGGTGCTCTACAACTTGAGTATCCATTTTGGGCTTTGTGCTGGGTAAGTAAAGAATCCTCTGGACTCTCCTGCCTGGACTGGTTTCAGACTGGGATCCTCAGATATCAGCTTCCTGGGAAGCTAGTATGACAGGCGTGAGCCACCAGCATCTGGCCATGTCAGGGTTTTCACTGAGTGGAGCGTGTGGTGGATGGAGATAAGATCAGAGCACCCATCAGGAGATGTGAAGCTTCTGGACTTTTCTACTCTGGCTCTGCCTTGGGCTGCAGTCCAAAGGCAGGCAGCAGGGAGCCCCGTCTTCACCAGCATGGGGCAATCGAGCCCCCACGGGGTGTTCATAAGAAGTGAGAACAGGCAACAAGGGGCCTTACCGCTTTGGTCCGCTCTCGGAGGCCATTGTCTTCGTAGTGTGGGTGGTTGGTTAACGTCCTTCCCGTACAGAGTTTCACGCCTGCCAGCAGCTGCATGCTGCCAGCAAACACCGCCTTCCTGGGAGTGTTAGAGCTATAAGATGTTAAACAGTCTGCATGAATCCCTGCTGTGGATTCATGTCCCTCCAAGACACTGAATCAGACAATCACACCCTCACAACCTCCTACCTACCGGAAGGAGCAGTAAGAGTCAGGGGAGAAGAAAACAAGAAGGTTTGAGTTCCGGTTTGCACCTCAGTTTACTTTATGCAATTTTTCCTGATCCGTGTGCATGTGAGCATGAGTGTGCATGTGCTGATCCTGGGGCTTGAACTCAGAGCCTAGACACCATCCTTCAGCTTTTTCCACTCATGTCTGGTGCTCTACTACTTGAGCCACAGCTCTACTTCCAATTTTTTGGTGATTCTTTAGAGATAAAAGTCTCATGGACTTCCCTGTCCAGGCTGGCTTCAAACTGTCACCCTCTGCTCCCAAACTCCTGAGCTACCAGCACCCAGTCAGTCTAGCTTTTTGGTGACTAACTGGAGATAAAAGAGTGTCACATACTTTTCTGCCCATGCTGGCTGGCTTTGAATCCCAATCCTCAGATCTTAGCCTCCTGTTTAGATAGGATTATAGGCATGGGCCACCAGCACTTGCATGAATGTAAGCCAACAGACCTCTTCATGTCTATGAGCAAGTCAGCCTGTTTTAAGTGATGGCACTTATCCCTCCCAAATTGAAGACCCCTCCCTAACTCACGTGTAGCCTGATCAGCCTTATGGATGGATGGGCAGACAATAGGAGAAATGACACCTTGTCTGCACATTCTCCACACTCAGGTCTAGAACATGCGATCTGACAGAAAGAAGCTGGGCTGCTCTGAGGGGCTGACAGTATCCTGACATCCAGTGACACATGTGCTCGGTCCCCAGATCCCCACAATCTACAGGGAGTCTGACTTTTGTCCCACATGGTCCAAGACCAAAAGGGTTTGATTAAAGACAAAAAGTGTGGAGGTACACAGGCCTTAGTGAAAAGACCCTGCAGATCAGAAGTCACTCCGCAGTTATTAAACACTTATTTTTGGGTCGTGTGAATGATGCTAACCTCATTTCTAGGGCGTTATGATTGCCAAAGAGACTACATCGAAACAGATATGAATGAAAGAAAATGCCATGAGTTTGAAGCCAAGCTTCCTTCCTCTTGTATGTTCTCAACTGGCACAAGCCATTCCACTCGTGATCATTGTACAACAACATCACATATCAGTGCCAAAAAGCGGCCGTCCTCTGACGAGACACAGATTTGAGATGCAGGGAGAAAAGGAGCCTGCTTCTCATGGCTGGCAGAGCATGAGGCAGAGAGGAAGCTGACAGGGGGTGAGCAAGCCGGGCTGGTATGGTCGCCCTGCCTGAAGCTGCCCAGCTGGTCTTCTTCACAACAAAGGCAAATCAAGCAGCTAAGGCTTCAGTACCCGCTCACATCCCAAACACTGTTGGAAAAATGGAACAGGAACCAGCACCAAGAAGGCTCGCACATCTGTCTATAGTGTGCTTTACAGTATCAGCAGACAGATGCCATTATCTATTTACAGCCCATGGGAAGGTTGCAGCTTGCTCCAATCACATCTTGAGTTAAGTCTCACAAAGCTTCCAGTTTCCTAAATGTTGTGGGAGCAATTAGTTATCTATCTATCTGTCTCTCTTTACAGGACTGGAAGTTGAACTCAGGGCCTTATGTTTGCAAAGCAGGTGCTCCACCACTTTAGATGTCTTCATTCCTTTTTGCTGTGGTTATTATTATTGTTGTTGTTGTTGTTGTCTGGTATGAGGGCATAAACTTAGACTCTCTTGTTCTCACTTGGCTGGAACCACAGTTCTTCTCCCAGCTTTTTTGCTAGTTAACTGCAGATGAGTCTCACAGGCTTTCTTGTCTGGGCTGGAATCAAATCATGATCCTCAGATCTCAGGCTCATGAGTAGCTAGGATTATAGGCATGAGTCACTGGAGTCTGGCTGTGGCTATTTTTGCTCGTCTTGCTTTTTGCTTGGGCTTGCCTGGACTACAACCCTCCTATTTATACTTCCCACAATAGCTGGGATGATGGGTGTACACTACTATGCCCAGTCTTTTCCTCAGAGGTGGGGTTTTGTGAACCAGTTTGTCCAGGCTAGCCTGGAAGCACAATCTTCCCAATCTGAGCCTCCCACACAGCTGGGAGGCTATGCACCACTGTGCCCAGTGACTGGTTGAGATGGGGGCTCAAGAACATTTTTATGCAGATAGGCCTTAAATTGCAATCCTTCCAATTTCTGCCTTTCTAGTAGCTAAGATTACAAGTGTGAGCCATGGCATGCAGCCAAAAGTAACTCTTTATTAAAAGAAAATCTTACAGCATTATTCCTATGTGCTGGGCTGGAAAAACATCTTATGATAACCAGTCTTTGATAAGTTTCCTAAATAATACAGCCAGACTAGGCTCCCATCACTTTTCAAAGAAGTATTATTTCTAGTTCATTTTCTAGAACTCAGAGCCTGGGTACTGTCCCTTAGTTTTTTGCTCCAGGCTGCCACTCTACCACTTTGAGCCACACCTCCACTTCTGCTTTTCTGGTGATTCATTGGAGATAAAAGTCTCAAAGAGGGCTGGGAAGGTGGCTCAGTGGTAGAGTGCTTGCTTCGTTTGCATGCCTGAGGCCCTGGGTTCGATTCCTCAGCACCACATAAGCAAAAAGAAAAAAGCCGGAAGTGGCGCTGTGGCTCAAGTGGTAGAGTGCTAGCCTTGAGCTGAAGAGCTGAGGGACAGTGCCCAGGCCCAGAGTTCAGGCCCAGGAATGGACTCAAAAAAAAAAAAAGTCTCAAAGACTTTCTGCCTGGGTTGACTTTGAACCACAATCCTCAGATCTCAGCTCCTGACTAGCTAGGATTACAGGTGTGAGCCACTGATACCTGGCCAATCTTACTTATTTTTGAAGTGCTAAGCTTCAACAAGTCAATTCATATTGAATGAATGGACTAACCAAGCATTATAAAATAATGGTGAACGTTTGTTTAACTGTACTTCAAAAATTCAGTTATGCAAATGCCAAAAATTATTCATTAAATATAAAAGAGGTTTACAGGCACGTACACACTGAACTTAGCCTACATCATCTTTAAAACATAAAAATTCTTTGTAGTTTTGATTAAATGCAAAAGTAATTTTGTGCATTTTTTTTCCAGTTCTATTGAGAAAATTCTGCACATGTAGGCTTCATTACTGGAGAGAGACTATTTCAATTGAAAATCTCGTAAAGGCAAGTACTTAACATGACATATTTCAAAATATTCAAATCTACAGACTCGGTGTGTGTGTGTATGTGTGTGCAGGTGCACCAGTACTGGGGCTTGAAGTCAGGGCTTGAGTACTGTCCTTTTAGCTTTTTTTTTTTTTTTTTGCTCAAGGCTGATGCTCTACCACTGGAGCCCCCCCGCCTTTTTTTTAATTGAGTCTCTTGGATTTGTCAGCTTGGAATATCTTTAAGCCTCTATCCTCAGATCTCAGCCTTGTAGAAGCTAGGATGACAGGCATAAAGCACCAGTGCCTGGCTGCAGATCTGTCTAACTGGCCAGACTAGAATCTTTGTATCCAGGAAAACAATCAGCCAGGACAAATATGAGTGCACGCATGTGCGCACACACTCCATCTACCTGAGAATACAACGTATAGCAGCTGGGTATAAGATGCTGCCACAGAGGGGCTGGGGATAGGGAGGGAATGGGTTGAGCCAACCTCTCAGTCCTCACTGGGCACAGTCACAGTAGCTAGGTCTCCCACATCCTGGGGCCTGACTGTCATAAAACATCTTTGCAGATTAACATGTCTTTAATTTGTATCTTCTGGGTATGGTAATGTGGGCCTAGAAACAGCACTCAGGAGACTAAAGCAGGAGGATTGTGAATTCAAGGACAACCAGGGTCTCTTTGGTGAGACCCTGTTATGAAAAAAAGAAATAAAAAAGAGGACCGGAGAGGTGGCTCAAGTAGTAGCGTAACTACCAGCAACAAATGCCAAGTGAGAGCTTGAGGACCCGAGTTCAAGATCTAGTACCAGCCACACACACATTAAAAAAAAAAAGAGCTTAATAAAACAGCAAAGAAAAAATCAAAATGTCTTTGTAGAGAGAAAAATATAATCTAAATGTCTAAATGTTGATTAATCCAACATGTTTTGTGTCTAAATAGGCCCTTGTTTGGCATATATTCATCATCACTTAAGCTTATTCTACAAACATGCCTGGCAGCTATTTTTACAAAAGTGATCATTTAGATTTAAAGAATTGTTCGGGGAAAATAGTCAAGATTAGATCACAATAGGAGTGCATTTTTAGAACAATGTGAATCTTTAACTTGCTGTGAATTATAGAAAAACAGCCAACTGCTCGGATGGTACTGGTTGCTCATGCCTGTAATCCTAGCTACTCAGAAGGCTGAGATCTGAGGATCACAGTTTGAAGCCAACCCCTGCAAGCAAGTCTGGGAGACTTTTTTTTTTTTTTTTGCCAGTCCTGGGGACTGAACTCAAGGCCTGGCACTGTTCTTGAGCCTCTTTTGCTCAAGCCTAGTGCTCTACCACTTGAGCCATAGCATCACTTCTATCTTTTTCTGTGTATGTGATTCTGAGAAATCAAACCCAGGGCTTCATACATGTGATACGAGCACTCTACCACTAAGCTACATTGCCAGCCCCGCTGGGAGACTTATCTCCATAAACTACCAAGAAAGCAGAAGTGGAGCTGTGGCTCAAGTGGTAGAGCACTAGCCTTGAGCAAAAGCAGTCAGGGACAGCATTTAGGCCTAGAGTTCAAGTCCCTGTTAATAGACAAAAAAAGTAAAGACCTTTTCTTTCACAGAGACTGAATACTGACCAATATATGCCTGCATATTAATAGCTCATCCATAGTTTTCCAAAGCCAGGAAGAGACCTCTCCTCACCTTTGCTGGGTGAGATGGCTCACATCTGTAAAACCAACTACTTGAGAGGTGGAATGAGAAGTTTGTAGCATTAGGCCAGTCTATGTAAAAGCTTAGTATCTCAACAAATCAGCTGGGCATAGTGGCGTGTGTAAACCTGTCACACCAGCTACTTGGGAAGCTATCTACAGGATTATGCTCTCAAGGCTGGCCCAGGGCAAAAACATGAGGTCCTATCTGAAAAATAAAAGGGTTGAAGGCTCAGAGTTCAAATGCCTATACTGCAAAAATCCTTCATCATCAGCATTACCAGCATAACTGTCTCCTCCTTCTTTGAGAGAAAGTATGAAAATAAAGGCACCATGAATAAGTGCATAACAATCTAAGACAGCCTAAGCTAACCTTGGGTTCTGCTGGAATACCTTTGTGTGTATGTGTGTGTGTGCTGGGGCTTGAACTCAGGGCCTGGGCACTGTCTCTGAGCATCTTTTGCTCAAGGCTAGAGCTCTACCACTTAAGCCACAACTCTACTTCCAGCTTTGGGGTGGTTAATTGGGGATAAGAGTCTCATGGACTTTCCTGCCCAGGCTGGCTTTGAGCCCCAGCCCTCAGATTTCAGCCTCTCAAGTAGCTAGGATGGCAAGCATGAGCCACTGGAGCCCAGCCTTGGAGTACATTTGGTTTTTTTTTTTTTTGGGTCCGGTCGTGGGGCCTGAACTCTGGGCCTGGGCGCTGTCCCTCAGCTCTTCAGCTCAAGGCTAGCGGTCTACCGCTTGAGCCACAGCGCCACTTCCGGCTTTTTTCTTTTTGCTTATGTGGTGCTGAGGAATCAAACCCAGGGCCTCAGGCATGCAAGGCAAGCGCTCTACCACTGAGCCACCTTCCCAGCCCCCCTTGGAGTACATTTGTAATGACTAGCAGGAATTCCTGATGGACAGGAGCTTCATGCAATGCTAGCCTGGGCAAGTCTGAAAGAGCCACCAGAAAGAGGACAGCCTGCAACGCTGCCTCTGGTGCAATCCTAACAACAGAAAATACCAGTTCCCTTCAAGTGCAGGCACCACCAGCTTTCAGTTGACTACAGTTAATGCGAAAGTGATTGCTTTTCTTACATATGAATAACCTTCCTCTCCTACATCCAATAAATACCGGAGGAATTATTTACTCTATAATCGTGGGCCATGATTGAAAATTAAATAAGCAAAGACAAAGTGTAGCTCATGGTTCTCGGCACTGGAAATAGGGGAAAAATTATATTCATTGCATCTAGTCAAACCCAGTCCAACACTGGGACCAAAGCCACACATATATATTTTAGACATAAATCTCCCTATTGCACTCAAGAGACCAAAGCTATCAAACATTTACCATCTCTTAATACACAAGGAGCGCTAAATTGTACTGGTTAGTGAACATCAGTCAAGAGTGAGTGCTAAGAGGACTGTGGAAATTCTAAGTGATGGAGACGGCTCAGGTAATGCTTTCCAGAGGTGCAGCACCTTTTTCCCTGTGGGCAATTATGGGGCTGCTTTCTGGTTATAAAGAAGGGGAATATAGTATCACAGTGTACTGGAATATTACCAGTTCAGTCAGGGTTCATGAACAAAGCTTTCAAACATATGTTCTAATTTTGTGGCTTGGGGCTGAGGCAAAGAAACCAAACAAGAGCAACCAGTAAGATGCAAAATATTTTGTGCTCAGGAAAAGAGCCAGGTGCTGGTGACTGAATACCTGTCACCCTAGCTACTCAGGAGGCTGAGATCTGAGGACTGAGGCTCAAAGCAAGCTGGGGCTAGAAAGTCTATGAGACAATTCTCTTCAATTAACCGCCAAAAAGCTGGCAGTGGAGCTGTGGCTCAAGTGACAGAGCAACAGCCTTAGGGAAAAAAGCTCAGGGAGAATGCCCAGGTCCTGAGTTCAAGCCCCAGTACTGAAACACCTCCTCTACCCCCATAAAAAAAGTCAGAGAAAAAGCTCCAGTTTTTGTGATTGAAATTTTCTAATAAGCCAGAACTGAAGCAATGTTATTAACATGAACTCTGCAGCGAACTATTATGACTCTAATTAACTATAGTCTACACAGTACTTTTAAAATCATTAACAAGGAAAGGATACTTTTAAGTGTTAGCATTTATAGAAAATGTGAATGGTACTAAAAATGAAAAGGAAGATAAAACTGGCCAAGAGCAAAATCTGTGCTAGTATTATCTTTATTAAAACTGTATATTTTAACAGAGGTAAGTAGAAATTTATTCCCATTTTAATTTGGCATTTGGAATATAGTTGGATCCAACATTTCTTTTTATTTTTTTATTTTTTTTTTTTGTCGGTCGTGGGGCTTGAACTCTGGGCCTGTGCGCTGTCCTTCAGCTCTTCAGCTCAAGGCTAGCGCTCTACCACTTGAGCTACAGCGCCACTTCCGGTTTTCTGGTGGTTTATTGGAGATAGGAGTCTCACAGTCTCTCCTGCCCGGGCTGGCTTTGAACCGCGATCCTCAGATCTCAGCCTCCTGAGTAGCTAGGATTACAGGCGTGAGCCACCAGCGCCCGGCTTTTTTTTTATTTTTTTTTTTAATTTCTGAGCCCTATTTATTTATTGTTTTGTTACCAGTACTGAGGCTTAAATGTAGGGCCTCTGGTTTTCCTTTGGCTTTTTTGTTTTGTTTAAGGCTGGAGCCCTACCACTTGAGCTATATCTCTACTTCTGGCTTTCTGCTGGTTAATTAGAGATAAGAGTCTCACAGACTCTTCTGCCTAGCCTGGTTTTGAACCCCAGTCCTCAAATCTTAGCTTCCTGGGTAGCTAGGATTACAGGTGTGAGATACAGGTGTCTGGCCTGATAGTTTTTGGATGCATAGAGTTATTTCTAAATATGCAGTTTTAAAGAAAAATAAAAAAGATGAATGTTTATAATTAGATTCAGAGAAAAAAGAAAGGCAACCAAACAAAACCCCTCAAAACAAATGGCTTTGCTCTACAGTGATGTGAAAAAGTAACTCACGGATGTAAATGCTTTTTTTTAAAAAAAAATCCTCTTACTTAATCCAGGTCATCAGCTCCACTGTATCTGGGTCATAGAATTCTCTCAACTCAGAGAGCTCATCCATCACTCCTGGCCAGAACTGGAATTAAAAACAAAATAAAACAAAAACCAATCCACCCCATCCCACGGAAAGCAAGAAGACTGAATGGAAGAAAGGGAAGCGGGCTGTCTGTGTGTGAGCTGCAGATACAGTGGCCAGGATTCAGAACCCACTTCCCTCTGCAGGCTTCCAGCATCAAGGAGCTGGGCCCAGGGAAGTTTCCAACATCTTCCCCAGCTCAGACTAATTTTAGGACTAGGTTGTGTGTGGGGGGTGTGTACATGCCCATGCATGTGTGCATGCATGTGCTGGTATTGGGGCTTCAACTCAGGGCCTGGGAACTGTCCTTTAGCTTTTTCAATCAAGACTGGCACTCTACCACTTGAGCTATATAGCTCCACTTCTAGCTTTTTGGTGGTTACTTGGGAGATCAGAGTCTGGCTTTATTTTGTAGTTCATTGAAGGTAAGAATCTCCTACCCAGGCTGGCTTTGAACCATGATCTTCAGGACTTAGTTTCTTCAATAGGCTAGGATTATAGGCGTGAGCCACTAGCAGTTGGCTTCTCTGTGATTTTATACTGTGTCAAACTATGAGAAGATGAAGTATCTACATGGCTTGAATACTTAAGCCACAGCTCCACTTCTAGATTTCTGGTGGTTATGTGGACATAGGAGCCTCACATTTTTTGTAGCAAGACAATAATGATGACCAGAGCTGTCATTTCTGGAGAAGGGAATTCTTGTCTCTTATCAACTTATAAATATCAAATATATGTTTTCTAGTCTAAAGCCTTTGGTTTTCAGAATCTTCCATGAAAGTAAAAACAAAGAAAACACAAAGCTGATCCACTTGGATGAGGGCCAGCCTCCACATGTGAGTGGCCTCCCAAATCAAAACATCCACATCATAGTTTGAAATCCACTTGTTAGAACTCAAAATATAAAACTTGAAGGAAAACAATCTAAATATATAGGTATATACACACACACATACATATATGTATATGTAATATATATGTGTGTGTATACACACACATATGTACTGGTGCTTGAACTCGAGGCTTGGGCACTATCCTTGAGCCTCTTTGTGCTCCAGGCTAGCACTCTACCACTTGAGCCACAGTGCTACTTCTGGCTTTTTCTGAGCAGTTTATTGGAGGTAAGACTTTCACAGACTTTCCTGCCCAGGCTGGCTTTGAACCGAGACCTCAGCTTCTTGAGTAGTTAGGATTATATGAGCTATTGGACACCTGGCTAATAGTTCTTTTTTTTTTAAAAGAGGCCAAGAGTTCAAGTGGATGAAGCAATCTGCATTTTCTAGGTGGTAATTTAAAGCCTGTAAGTCTTGACGTCAGGATGAAAGAATCTCAAAGCAGTCAAGCCATTCAGTTGATTCCTGTCTCTGGTAAGGGAACTCAGAAATGAAGCAAAATTGCTTAGTTGGGAAGATGAAAAAATTCATTTCTTCCTATTCAGATGAAAAAAAGGTTGAGAAATGAACCAAAAAAAGCAGATTTTTGTTGTTGTGGGGCTTGAACTCTGGGCCTGGGTGCTGTCCTTGAGCTTTTTAGCTCAAGGTAAGCACCCTACCACTTGAGACACAGTGCCACTTGGGTTTTTTGGTGATTCATTGGAGATAAGAGTCTCATGGATGTTCCTGCCTGGGCTGGCTTTGAACCTCGATCCTTATATCTCAGCCTCCTGAGTAGCTAGGATTACAGGCGTGAGGCACTGGTGCCTGGCAGATTTTTTTTGAGACAAGGTCTCACTATGCAACCTAGGCTTGATCTTGAACTTGATTTTTCTATCTCAGTTTCCCAACTGCTGGGATAACAGGTATATAGAACCACACTTAGCATCCAAAGCTTAATCTCTGACACACACACGTACATGTGTATGTGTGTATATATATGTATGTATGTATATCTCCAGACCTCTTATGAAGGCAGCATCTAGTAAAATATGTAGAACCAAGTAAGATGCCTTCTCAATCCTCTAACCCATTTTTGTGTACATATGTGTGTGTGTGTGTGTGTGTGTGTGTATGTGCGTGCGCGCACATGCGTGCACAAACATGCATGTGCTTAACTTTTTCACTCAAGGCTGGTGCTCTACCACTTAAGCCACAGCTCACTTGCAGCTTTCTGGTGATTAACTGGAAATAAGAGTCTCACTGACTTTATTATCCTGCTGGGGTTTGAACACCAATCCTTAGAACTAAGCCTTTTGAGTATCTAGGATGATAGGTGTGAGCCACTGTCACCAGCTCTTTTAAATTGTATTATTTTAACTCACTTAGCAAGGAAAAAATAAAAAACAAAACAAAACAAAAAAACAACCACTTTAATCATTTCAAAATAGGTCTGAAGACACTTTCTGACTTTTCATCAGTTGAACTGTAGTCAAAATTAGAATGATTTAATTTTACTTGTTAAAAACTATTTGGGAAATATATAGGTTTTCCTGTCAATGCCAACTGAGAAGGTGTTATGAATTCCACCAACCCTTCCAGACCACACATAAAATGCATAGAGTCGGAGCAAGGACTCTGCTGGCCAGAGGAACCCCTAAGAAATAAGAAAATTGGTCTTACCTTATAGCACAGGTACAGCAGTGTCAACACTGGAACGGAGTATCGTATGACACAGATCTGTATCACAGAGACACGTTTTAGGTTGCAAGTATTTTAAGAACGTCTAGCTTTTGCTTTGTAAAAACATGTCCCATGCCCCCTTCAAACAAGAATAACACAAAGCCAGGTGTTGGTGACTCACGCCTGTAATCCTAGCTACTCAGGAGGCTGAGATTTGAGGGTAACGTTTCAAAGCCAGCCGGGACAGAAAAGTCCATGAGAATCTTATCTCCAATAAACCACCAGAAAACTGGAAGTGGCGCTGTGGCTCAAGTGGTAGAGCGCTAGCCTTGAGCTGAAGCACAGGGACAGCACCCAAGCCCAGAGGTCAAGCCCCACAACCAGAAAAAAAAAAGAAAAAAAAAAGAGTAACACAAGTAAGATTAAGGAAATCATGACACTGAGTGTTAGTGGCTCAGGCCTGTAATCTTAGCTACTCAGGAGGATGAGATCTGAGGAGCATGGTTCTAATCCAGGCAACAAAATTAAGGAGACTCTTATTTCCAATTAGCTTCTAAAAAAGCAAAACCTGGATCTATGGCTCAAGTGGTAGAGAGCTAGCCTTGAGCAAAAAAGATCAGGGAAAGGGACAGTACCAGGCTCCAATTTCAAGCCCCAGGACCAGAACAACAATGAAATTATTAAAAAATAATCTCTTAGGAAAGTTTAGTATGTCACTGACCTATTTCTAGTTTCTATTTTTTTATGTCAGCACTGAGGCTTGAATTCTGTTTGGACACTGTCCTGTAGTTTTTTTACTCAAGACTACCACGTGAACCATAGCTCCACTGCTGATTTTTTTGCTAGTCAATTAGAGATAAGAGTCTCATGGACTTTCCTGCCCAGACTGGCTGTGGATTGGGACCCTCAGATCTCAGCTTCCTAAGTAGCTGGGATTACAGGCGTTGAGTCAGTAGCACACTCTAGTTTCACATTTTAGTATTTATCTTATCTGACATACTGACTCTACTAAAAAAAATTTAAGTAAAACAGAGCCAATAGGAAAGAACTATTATGAATCATGAAAAAGTTATCATGGAAAAAAGTCAACACTGACCCCTTTTGGGTTATGAAGACGGACGGACTTCAGAAGCCACCCCCATATATCAGGGCTGCATAAGCCAAACGAGGCAAACACACACATGTGAGAGGTCCAGAGGTATTTCATTCTGCAACCACAGGAAGAGAGAGAAAGTCAGCATTTCCTCACAGCACCCCCTGGAGCTGACACAGATTCACAGTCAGTGGTAGTAAAACTTAATATAAAACTCTGCAGGAAGCCAGGGGGGGCAGCTCATGCCTGTAATCCTAGCTACTCAGGAGGCTGAGAGATGAGGATCTCGATTGGAAGCCAGTCCAGGTAGGAATGCCTGTGAGACTCTTATTTCCAATTAGCCATCTAAAGCTGGAAGTGGAGCTGTGGTTCAAGTGGTAGAGCACCAGTCTTGAATGAAAAAGCTAAGGGACAGTACCCAGGCCCTGAGCTTATTAAGTCCCAGGACTGGTGTGTGTGCTTGTATGTGTATGAGCGTGTGTGTACATACACATACAAAGTCACCTCAGTAGTGGTTAGATTAAAAACTGAACCACAGGAATGGACAAGATAAAAATAAAATACCTCATTGTACTCAATGCCAAGAATCCGAACAGCACAGTGTGTATTAGGTTGTAAGCAGTATCTGGCTTCAGGTCAATGGAGCATCTTCCCATCTTACCCTCCAGCTCTTGGATTCCAGAATCACTGAACAAAATAGCAGACACACAAAACAAAGCTAAAATGTATCCCTTTAATTTAGTTAATCGTGTGTTTCCCCTAAAATGAAATAAACTAGTGCTGATCAATTTGGAATTTGTTCCTAACACATTTGTGTTGCAATATAAACATATCAGTGATTAAAATTATTATAAGCTCTCAGCAGATTAAGTACACATTTAAAGTGATTCAATTCTTTAAAAGAGAACAGCAAAAAAGGCAACAGCAAAAAACTGAACAGGGTATTGGTGGCTCATGCCTGTAACCTAGCTACTTCAAGAGGCTGAGATCTCAGGTCACAGTTGGAAGCCAGCCTGGGCAGGAAAACAGGATTCTTATCTCCAATTAACCAGCAAAAAGCCAGGAGTGGATTTTCCTCTTTCAGTACATTGGTCAAGATGATTATATATATATATGTTTATAAGTATATATATATTTAAACAATGCAATTATTACTTAAAGCCTTTAGCAGATACTAATTATGGCTCACTCCAACTTTATATGCCTTAGAACATGAAGCAAAACACAAATGAGTAATACTACTTGCTATTTCAAAGGAAATTAAAAACAAAACCAAAAAGCAAAACAAAAACCCTTAGGAAAGCCGGGCACTGGTGGCTCATGCCTATAATCCTAGCTACACAGGAGGCTGAGATCTGAGGATCGCAGTTCAAAGCCAGCCCGGGCAGGAAAGTCCGTGAAACTCTTCGCCAATAAACCACCAGAAAACCGGAAGTGGCACTGTGGCTCAAGTGGTAAAGCGCTAGCCTTAAGCTGAAGAGCTGAGGGACAGCACTCAGGCCCAGAGATCAAGGCCCACAACTGACCAAAAACAAAAAAAAAAGGGGGGGGCTGGGAAGGTGGCTCAGTGGTAGAGCACTTGCCTTGCATGCCTGAGGCCCTGGGTTCGATTCCTC